TTGTTTTGCTCATTGGTTTATATATATAATTGAATGCACACATGCTCACATGCTAGAGTACACTAGCATAAGCTTTAGTTAAAAAAAAAACAGTTGGTAGAACTTTTTCCTGGTTTCGGAATACATGTTCGGTGTTGTCTTTTGTTTTTTTGTTTTTTCTGCTGATGTGGCATTTACACATATGTTGTGTTTTCTATCTCACTGTACTGCATGTTGTCCTTAACATACTCAACCTGCAGGGCAGAAACCTTGACTATTTGAAGGTGACGATGTGCTGTGTGTTCAGACAATTTACCCTTTTTAAAAAAAGTGGATGAACAGGTTGAAGTGTAAGGCGTGACAACAGAAGATATTTGGTACGGACCTGTATAATTCTACAATACTATTGTAAATAATAGGATAAAACATTTGAGAGACTTAGAAAAAAAGAAACTTTTAAAATATTACTTGTAACATTAAGATTTATCCAAACACTGTATTTTGTAAAATAAGGAAAGGGAGGACAAAATAAATGTCTGTAAGGTCATTATTTATAGTAGTAATGTAACATAGACTAATAGTAAAACATATATTTTACAGAGCATATTATGGGTATAAAGCATGGAACATGTTTATTTTTATAAAACCAAACAACAGATAGTGTTCTCCTCTCATCAGCACTCGATCATTTCAACATTACAACTCTGTGTTTGTCATTGTTCAGTTGCTTTGCTGGACTGTATGGACTCGTCTGTGTTTCATCCACACCTGAGCCGACCATGGCTTGATCCACTGTTACTTTCTGTGCTCCTCCTTCATTCCTGTCTTTATTTACTATCAATGATCTTGTCGTCACTGTGGTCTTCTGTCTGTGTACAAAGTTATCTCATGTTTTACGAGCAATAAAGTATATTATATAAACTGTTTTGCATAATTTGGAATTCAAATTACATGTGGCAAAAAAAAAAACATTGCGTCAGTAGGTTATGTTTGAGCCATTCATTATCAGTGGTTATATCAAATATTAAAATTGTATCCAGTCCACAAATTGCAGAGTCAGATACTGAAATATAGGTTTACTACTGAATTAGACCTATGACTAATAAACACATTTTTGATAAACACTTTTAATGTTAATTTTATCATTTAAATTAGTGCAAATATCATTCATTAACATACATGTTATCTTGAATATAAATACTTGGTTATTAAAATATTGGACCTATGTATATTATGTTTTAGTTTGCTGGGTTTATTTACTTTTAATAAGAATAATTCTATGACTCCAGGACAGCCTAAAGTGAAAACAAATATATTTTTAAACTAAGAATTCTAAAGTGAAAACAAATATATTTTTAAAAATGTCATCAACCAAATAATTACAGTATGAGTCAATTGTCCGATCAATCTACCATTGTTAAATGTAGCATGAAGCAAATACACTCTATATTTAATGTTGTATGTGTGTAGAGAGGCTGGATGAATGGAAGGCTAAGGCAATGGATGGATGGGGAAATGGGTCACAGCAAAACTATTTAGTCATTTCAAAGGAAAGGAAATGGAGAAAAGCAATATCTCCATAACTGCCATTACAAACTATGAGAAAGGATCCCTCTTCTTGTAATTTAATACATTTTATATATATATATATATATATATATATTTTTCTGTTGTGTTCCTTAGAGAATTGTGTTCGGATGTTGTAAGGTTCATTTCAATCATTTGTACGTTATCTTCGTCAGTAATTTGTTTGAAAACCAGATATAGCCATCTTTTTTGACAACAAGCCGCGTGAACGTGCGGCGTACATGCGGAATGACGCAGGACGTAAGCGAAAGCGTGCGCGCCGCTCGGGGATGGAGAGCTGCACGCGTGCTGCGTGTGTCATAATGGTGGATAGGTAGAGAACGCACTGTAGCTCCGTCTGCGAAGCTCATCAACGGTTGCCCTTTTCTCCGCTCTTGTCGTGGACTCTTTGGCCTCGGACGTGACAGCTGTTCGCCCTCGCTGCGACGCCCTGGACCGCCACAGAATGCCGAACATTAAAATATTTAGCGGGAGCTCACATCCGGACCTGTCTCAGAAAATAGCAGATCGCCTGGGTCTGGAACTGGGGAAGGTTGTGACCAAGAAATTCAGTAACCAGGAGACGTGGTGAGTGCTCACCTGGTGACACCTTGTTAAACACAACAGAGGTCGTGTCTGCGTGTGAATGCTGTAGCAACGCGACATGTTTTTATTCAGAAACGTGGTGTCATGGTGAAAATGACGCGCGTTGTTTCTGGGAACTTGTAGTCCACACTGGACTCGCGCTCACTTTGAGCTCATTCAGTGTGCTCATTCTGAGAAATTTAACACCGGAAATGTATTTAAAAAAATAATGTAAAATGTACATTATGTCGTATATTTAACGTAAAATTAGTGATAACATCGCGTCCAAATGCGTCATTGTATCCATATGTGTAAATGTTGCTTCCAGACTAAAATATTAGTCAGTTGAACATAAATTGTATCCGTTTTACAAATTTATAAATGCATCCGAGATATAAACACAGAACCATTATATAATTAAATCTTTTTGCAAGTGTTATGGAATAAAAGATATATATAGATAAAAAATTTATATAAAAAAATGGCCTGTATCCATAGATGCCACCAGGTTGGACCAATTTCACCAGACAAGGTTAAAAAAAATTGTTTAATTTTAACTTCCATATACTTGAACAGAAATGTTAAGATGAGGAATATTCAACCATAACATATAGATGTATCACTAAATCGTGAAGTTTTATGCATGGTACCAGTAGTACATTTTTGAGTTTACGTATACTATAATGAAGAAAAAGAAAGAAAATTGAAATGCTAAAGAAAAATGGCATATTTTCCACCAGGGATATAATACGGCACAGTTTAAACTGAATTAAAGTTAAGTGTGTAAATAAATGTCTCACAACAAGGAAAGTGTATAAATGTATGCCTCCGGGCCCTGTGTTTGTTCCGGCTCATCCATCTTCTGCCTGCCACTGTGTGTTAGCACCATGGCACTTAAAAGTGTTTGTTTTGTCACTTCTGTCCCCTCGCAGTGTGGAGATAGGAGAAAGTGTCCGAGGAGAAGATGTCTACATAGTGCAGAGTGGCTGTGGAGAAATTAACGACAATCTAATGGAGCTGTTAATAATGATCAACGCCTGCAAGATCGCCTCGGCCTCCAGAGTCACTGCTGTCATCCCCTGCTTCCCGTACGCACGGCAGGACAAGAAGGACAAGGTGGGGGTGAGGGACATCTGTCTAATTACTTCTGTCATGCCATCCGCCCTCCAGCATCATGACAAGAAGCCCAGGACCATGTTGGTCAACAAAACCTAACATGGCGTATTTGTTTTGCTGTTGTTTATCTTTTTTATTGTGATTGCTTTTTGCTTTATTATGCTTTGCTCTTATAACCTACAGCTTTTGGCTGGTTGTCGTTTCTGTTTCCTATTATTTGTTATATTTCCATTCAATTACATCCACAGCTGTCTGTCATTTTGCATGTATTTACAAGCTTTTTATTTGAGAATTACATTTTTACCAATTGTACGTTAATTATAAGACATTTAATGGTCTTCAGAGTCTGTACAGTACATTTTGTTGCTCTTGAATTGGTTTCTGCAAAACTGATGTGCCAAACTGAGTTAGCTTAAGTGTCATTTTTAGTCACTAAAGACATCAGACTGTTCAAGCCTAACATCAATGGACTAACATTGTTGCCTAGTATCCTAGGGGTCATGCAACTTTTGCCGTATCATATGATATATTTTTAACTCTATGGGAATACACTTTACTTTGCTTGAACGGTTATTTGTATTTTCAAAGAAAGGCGACAGCTTTCTAAAGCTGCTAACCTCGATTCATCAGTAAAGCCTTGAGATCTTTTTGTTTGTTTGTTTGGAGCGTCAACTTTAATGTGTTTTCTGTTAAAGGAGAGGCCAAGAATTGAGCACAATTTAACATTCAGGTCTGCAGTTCAACATAAGACAGTCTCTGATGAGTCATTAAAGTTCAGTTCAGTGTTATTTTTAGCCAGTTGACCCTGCTGGCCACTTCACTTATTCCATGTGACTGAAGGGATCTCTTTCCATCGCAGAGCCGTGCCCCCATCTCGGCCAAGTTGGTGGCCAACATGTTGTCGGTGTCGGGTGCTGACCACATCATCACCATGGATTTACATGCATCCCAGATACAGGTGAAAATGACAAAAGCTGAACCTATTCCAGTTTCATGTGAAAGTGTCCATAAAGTTTCAAGCACGTCTCCACAAATGGACATGTCAGCATTCGACTCCTTCCTATTTATCTGTCCGTGTCTGTTTTTTTGTTTGTTTTTTTTCTTCTAGGGATTTTTTGATATTCCTGTAGATAACCTGTATGCAGAGCCAGCCGTGCTGAAGTGGATCAAAGAGAACATCCCTGAGTGGAAGAACTGTACCATTGTCTCACCTGACGCAGGAGGAGCCAAGAGGTAACATCGCTGGGGGCTTTTGCTACAAGTCGTATGTGTGTGTGTGCACAGCGGCTTATCTCCAGTACTGTTTACTTTTGACTCAAGTTGTGTTGACATTGATTATCTCTGACATGGGCTCTGAATTTGATTTGTGCTACTGGAGTGTTGTTACTTGTACGTTCACACAAGCAATCACTCATTGGACACCTTGTTTTCACAGGGTCACCTCAATAGCTGACCGGCTGAATGTCGACTTTGCTCTTATTCACAAGGAGAGGAAAAAGGCCAACGAGGTAGACCGCATGGTTCTGGTCGGAGATGTGAAAGATCGCGTCGCCATTCTGGTGGACGACATGGCCGACACGTGTGGTACCGTCTGCCATGCCGCTGACAAGTGAGCTCTTTTCTGGTGCTAGTACACTGTTTATATGTGTATTTATATATGTGTGTGTATATTTATGTGTACATGTGTATGTGTTTACGTATATACAGTATGTATGTATGAATATTTATTGATGTATTATGTATGTGTACTGTATATATTTATATATAAAATATGTGTATATATGTCTGTATATATATATGTCTCTATATGCTAAGTCATACACAGGCGAAGTAGGCGGGCAAAGTAGCCACATCTTATCAATATATAAGTTGCATCTTTATTTCATGAAATATGGTAATGTAGGAATTGTTAGACATTTCGACTATAGATTCACAAGTCAACTGTCATGATATACCAACCACAGATTGCTGCACAATTTTATTTATGTGCATGGAAATCTGTATGTGGATATATGTAGTGATGAACTATATTTATTTTTTTTCCTCCTTTAGACTCATTTCTGCAGGTGCCACTAAGGTGTATGCCATCCTGACACATGGCATCTTCTCTGGCCCAGCTATCTCACGCATCAACAACGCCTGCTTTGAAGCAGTGGTGGTCACCAATACCATCCCTCAGGAGGAGAAGATGAAACACTGTCCTAAAATACAGGTGAGGCTGCAGACGTGTAAGTTGTGGCTTTGATAATATTACACAAAACACTTGCACAGATGAAGATCTTTTTTGTCTGAGTAGTCCGTGTGAGAAGGTTGACACGGACAAACCAAGCAACATTTTAACAAGTCATTCAGGAAGCCTGATCACAGAGACCACTCGCTGACTAAATAGAACAATTTGAGTTCTCAAATAAGTTCAAGGTTGTCATACACACAGTAGAGAAAAGTGTTTCCGTGGATAATAAAATTCATACTAGGCTGTCAAATAATTAGTCAATGAAATTGATAAACAAAACCAAATAAAGGCAATTCAAAGGCAGGTTGTGAATAAGTCATAAAAATATATATAGACAATAAAAGCAGCATCTTGAAAAAAACTGAAAATACTATTGTAATATAAACAGGGCAGTTGTACAAATAGAATGGAGATACAAATGATGAGCAAACACACAAGAAAGAGGATTGTCTTTTAAAGACACCTTTAGTGAACTTTTACAGATGCTGGTTAAAGTCAGTGCTCAAATAGAAAGCCTTTATTTTTAGCCATTTTTATTTTTGATTCGATGTTTGATTAGCTCCTGCAATTGGTGAGATTCGTTTACTTACATATAGAAAATAGAGTACAAACACCTTTGTGATGTGTACACGGCCCAATTGTCTTTGCTCTGTCCCCAGGTGATTGACATCTCCATGATCCTCGCAGAGGCCATCCGTAGAACTCACAACGGCGAGTCCGTCTCGTACCTGTTCAGCCACGTGCCCTTGTAACAAATGGAGTTTGCCATCAACCCGTGTGCTGTTACACCAAATAAAAAGGGAGTCCCCCCCCACCCCACCCTCTCCCCCTTCAAACACACAAACCCAACCCAACCTTTAGATGAGTTGTCTATTTAACTAATCATGAAGAAAAGAGTCAACTTAGATGTCTGTTACTAACGCTGATCTCACTGACTCCAGTTCCTTGAGCAGTGTTGCCGTCGTGTCTGGGGCATTACTGAAATACCAGGCGACAATATTTATTGTACATGGTTAAATAAGAGTTATTTTGTTTGTTTTCTCATAACCTATAGAGTTCCTTCTTGGTCAGTTCAGCTCTGCATAATCCTTTTCAGTTAAATAGCTTTTAATCATATCACAGTGGTCAAGAGAATGATCTGGCAAATGAGGCTGTTACAGTGCTTCTATTTTTGTGTTACTATGATCAAGTAAAGATTTTCTTTCTTTTTTTTTTTAACGTTAAGTGTTTCCTCATGTTGAAAGATTGTACTGTAATGAATGTATATGGATCTAGTTTACATTGCCCCTAAAGCTCAGCTCAACCAAGAGCGCTCCCAACAGTCTGAAATGGAAATCACATTTTCAACCTCCCAGTCTGTTACCATGTCTGTTGACTGTACAAGATGTGTTGGGATGTTTCGTCTTGCTGTTGAGGTGCCTTTATTGAGTGGGAATTCTCCAGTGTCCAGAGTTTATCCTTTAAGGTACTTTCTATTGGGAACGTGTCATGTTTTTAGCTTAAAGTCTGTGCAGGCTGGAGCTTCCTTCAGAGGTCATCAGCTGCATTTCTTCTTGGTTTTTTGTTGTTGTTTGTTTGTTTGTTTGTTTTTGCTTTGGTTTTTTTTGTCGGGATTTGTGGTTAATGTGCATATTCAAACCCTTTGTCTTTCTTTTTGCGGTAGGATAAATGCGCCAGTTATTCAGGCTGTTCTTAATAAAAGATATGCATAAAATCTTAAACTGAATTAGAATTTTTACATTTTATTTTTACATGTTAATCCATGTGTGTATTATTATTATTATTTATATTGCGCTTATTTCGGACTTTGACGCACATTATATTATTTTTCCAACCGGAAATACATTTAGTTTATTTAATGACGCAGCCTGTTTCGTCCTGATAAAGAAAATTCATATTATATTTTCAATTTGGGGTAATCGTCTTAATTGTATGAACGAATGGTTTTTGGTACCTTGTAGCAACAGAAATAATAAAAAAAGCAGTCGAAAAACCACCTTCGAGAGAGATGATTGATTTGTAAACCAACCAATCAGGGTGAGCATGTGACGTCCTTCTTGACCAATCGTTATTATGTTAAAGGCGGGCTAACAGCATACACGGGACCGGCGGATTTACTGTTCCATAGACTGTTCCAGCCCAGCTATAGATTGGAAACAAACACAAATGAAATAAATAAAAACGTTTGTACCGCAGCAGAAAGAACTTCACCGAGATGAACTGGGTGTAAACAGAAACAAAGAACTTCCGGTCCGCTCTCGGAATCCATCGTTTATTCTTAGGATAATTAAAAAACCGCTCTACGACGCAGATTCCGCGTATTTGTTACCTGTCGTCCTCAAACCGGGTGAGTACCATTTATTTTATTATGATTATTTTTTTTATTTTCGTGCATTTTTTTTATTTTCAATGCAGTTGTATTGAATCGATGCATGTCCTGCATAATTAATGCCACACACATTTCCACATAGATCCAGTATGACAGGAACTCCAGACCATAAACAAGACGAAGAGTCTTTCAGAGATGGAGTGGTTCGATTCCAGAGCTACTTGCATGGAGGGACGTCCAGCCTGCTGTCCACCATTCCCACCCTCATCGTCTTCCCTGTGTACAAGACTGTTTTCCGTCAACAAATCCACAACAACCCTCTCCATCAGGTCGTGGCACAGCTCTACAAAGAAGGACCCGTGAAGCTGTACAGGGGCGTGGCCCCACCATTACTGATGAGGACCCTGAATGGCACCTTGCTGTTCGGGTTGCAGGACACAATCCTGCGCCACCTTTCCACATCATCCCAGCAGGTGTTCCCCACCGCTGCCCTACCAGCTCTGGCTGGGTTTGGTGCAGGTATTGTGGAGGCGGTGGTCTTCACCCCCTTTGAGCGGGTCCAAAATGTGTTGCAGAACAGCCAGAATGACCGCCACCTGCCCACTCTGAAGAGTGTCCTGCAGACACTGAAGACCCAGAGGCCAGCCTCGGGTTACTACAGAGCCTTTCTGCCCATCACGGCCCGCAACGCTCTGGGCAGCTCTCTCTACTTTGGCCTGAAGGGTCCTGTGTGTGCTCTGGTGGCAGTGGAGGGTCTCTCTCCAACGGCCTCGTCCTTTGCGTCAGGGACGCTGACCTCCATGTTGATCAGCCTGACTCTGTATCCACTGTCTGTGCTTGTTGCAAACATGCAGGCACAGGTCGGGGGAGAAGCGAAGGGTGTGATGGATTGTTGGAGGACGTTGTGGAGGTCTCGGCAGAGGAGCGTGGCTCTGCTGTACAGAGGAGGTTCCCTCGTTATTTTGAGATCTTGCATCACGTGGGGAATTGCAACCGCTATCTATGACAGACAGGAGAAACGCTCAAGCTGAGGAAATGAAGATACATTTCTTGAATGCTTACAAACTGTCAGGTTAGAAAAGTATCTTTTTATTTTTCAATTATAATCATAACTGCAAAAAAAACAAAAAAACCCTAAGGTATAATTTTAGTAGTACCCCGTGTCCAGGTGCTTTAAAATGTCAGCAGGAGACTGGCCTAAATAACATAATAATAATGGCACAGTCCTATTCATTTTTGATTAAACAAAATGATCAAAGATTATAAATACCAAGTGTCACTATAGGAAATATGAAACATTCTAATGTGCTGTCTCTAAAATTAAGGTTAATTATGTTCACAGTTTTAATTCATTTTCTTCAGAATCAAGAAGTCAACTGTAACTTTGTGTCTACAACTGACCAATCTGCTTGGTTTTGTGCGTTACTTTAACTCATTATATTGTGGTTATTTGTCGTGTCCCTCCCAAAGTCGTCCACTGAGTCTGTCTCTGTCTCCCCTGTGTTATTTTCATCCTTAACGTCTCAGGAAGTCCTAAATATGTAATCACCCAGTTAAATATGAAGCATGTATTGCAAGTGAATGTTTACAGTTGATTTAGATTGTTGTCATACAATACCAAACTACTCAGGGCATTTTATTTACTGCACAAATCTGTGAACAAGCTGTGTGGTTTTTATACCTAAACATTATATTCCACCTAGACAGGGAGAACTACAAACTGGACCTTGAGGGAATTTTTATCTAGTTTTAAAAATGAATCTGTAATTTGGTTGAGCGTTTATAACTTTATTTAACAATACATACGCCAAAAATAAGTTTACCAAATTTCAGATTTATTTTTGCATTAGGCTACTAGAAAACCATTCCTAAAAGGTTTGTCATTCTCCCCCCATACTTTAAACTGCCTTCCTGTTCTCTAACACATTCCAAACCATCTGCATTAATAAACATATGTTACATGCGCCCAGATGTGATTTTTATTGTTTGGTACTTTCATCCCCTGATGATATTTGATAACGAATCCACTAGATGGTACTGTCGAACGCACGAATGCCAAACACAATGGGCGTTATGAGCAAGGATGGACAATGATGCCCATGGAGCAACCTATCACATATCAAATATATCCAATTGAAAGACTTCCTCTGGGCTCTGGGAGCCAATGAGGTTCTCTGTGTTAATGTGCAACAGGGCGTGTTGTCTGTATTTAAGTTCTTGGCTCTGGACGGATTACACAGACGAGACACCTCTCACCTGCAGGACATTCTCACTCACAGCACATCCCAGCACCAGGTAAATGCATCCTACGTATGTCTGCATTTAACCCTGCATTCGAAGGACATACAAACAAAAAGTCAAAGCAACTGCGCACAGATTACAAATTTAGGAAATGTTTAAATATATACTTTAAATGCAAAGAGTGTTTAACCGCTGTCTCATTTTTAAGTTTATTTAAAATTGTTTCTGTTTTAATTTCCTACTATCTGTTCATATTTGGCACGAGTAAAGAGTCCATATGGAATTTAAATGTACCATATTCCTCTGAATTTATGTGTGTGTTTTTTAATCCGGTCTTTTTATTTGCAGTGTGTGTAACATGACACGGCGCCAGAGTTGTTTGTTCATTGTTGCAGAGGTTGATGATGAAGTACAAGTTGTTTCTTGCGGCCCTTTTTTTTTTGTTCTGTTTTGTTTTCACTGAGGTGTGGCTTGCCTTGAGCACCTGTACACACACGTACTGCACTGCAGACTCTGTGTCTGATGGAAAGATGATGTGCGATAGTGTGTGTTCCTCTCCTGGTCTGCCCTGAATTCCTTCAACACTTTATTTCTCCCTCTCTTCCTGTTAGAAATCATCCACAATGGATAACAGTAAAATCAATGCAGAAGTCAAGAATTTCAACAAGCAAGGTCTAACAAAGACTAAGACAAATGAGCAACTCTATAAACCAACAAAAGAGGGTAGGTATTTGGTGACAGTTTTTTTTTATTATCAGGAAATAAAGTAGACTTATACTCACAGGGTGCACGCTCACTCTTTTTGTTTGTTTTGTTTTGGGTTTTTTGCTGCAGGACTTTGTGCCTTTTCATAATGTAGTTCAAACACATCTCAAAGTCACCTGACACCAGTGTTTCCCTCGCCCCACATGTTTTTCTTGTGAAGAGCACATTAGTTTGCAAAGTACCTTTCGGGTTTTTTTCTCTATCTCTAGTCAATAGACCAAGACCACACAAAGGCAAGAACATTTTTGATCTTCGATTCTATACTTCAGAAACTTTATTAACAGTGTAGATAACTAGAAAACACTCAGTTTCTGCAATATTTAGCGTTAATGTTTCATGTTTTAATCATTTGTTTTCCAGTTCTGAGAACGTTTCAGGTCCTCGGTCTCTGAGTTCGTCAGACTTATTTTTGTCTCTATCTTAAATCACACAGACATTGAGCGGGAGAAGAAAGAACAGCAAGAACAACAACAGAAAGAACAAGAAAAAAAGTAATGTGAACGGGCCTGCCGTGGCGCCGCTCCTGTAGACCTACTGCTCTTACCTGCTTCGACATGTATTAAGAATCCTGACCATCACATCTACTTCTGCCTCTGTTTGTTATTCTGCCACCTTTGATCGATAATGGGGTTTGGGTTTAGGTACAATTATCCTGTTAGTTTAATAAGAACTGAAAAACCAAAAGAAAAGTATAAGATGTGCATTAGTTACAAATCAATCCTGATCGGTTTTTATAAGAGAACTATTGGGATGGTCCTCGATATGCCAGTGAATGGTCACATTTAAAGGAATAACAAATAAATTGATATTTTTCTTTAAATAAAATTGTCTGCTTGTTTGTCTGTTTGTTGATAAGGTCGGTTGGATGTCTGATAAAAACACACATATATACATATATACATACATATGCACATATATGTATACATATATATATATTTATATACATAGAGGGATGGATAAAATAAAAAGTTAACAACCAGCTGAACAGAAAATGAACAGAGTTTTGACACCAATGGTGAATTTGAATTGAAAAAACTGCCCCTAAAGTGAGTGGCTTGACGATGTTGAATCAATACCAATACCGAAGCTGGTATTGGTAGGGACTAAATACTGATTACTATAGTGTTGGTCGCATAGAAATGTGCTTTTTGTTGTTAATTCTGTGGCACAAACATTTAAATAAAACTGCACTCCTGAAGCAGGGTGTGCAGCATGAAAAATAAAAATAATAATAAACTGACTGAACTCAATGTCGAAGTTGGCCACTGACATTCTAGTACGGGCATGTATATAATCTCAAGCCAGGAGCTGCATGAATTGGACTCTGTTTTCAAACAGCTGAATGAATCATAGTTATCTACCAAACTGTTCCTGCATCAAAATGGAGAGCGTGTTTAAGCCTGTTGAGTGGAGGGAGTGGATCAGATTGAAGTGTTGCACATTCCACACCTTCTACCTGACATGTCTTTGTAATTATGTTGGAAATGGGAATTTTATGTTGTTTTTTTTTAATTATTATATTAGTAACAGCACGTACACACCAATCCTGGGACAGGAAGGTGGTGTGGGTGGAGGGGGCAGAGGTGTGTGGGTTGAACCTTGTGGTTGGTTAGGTATGGTTCGATTGCTTAAGACACTGGAGGTGGTTATTTTCCATCAATGGCCTGTCGATACATGCTCATGTTTATAACTGGTTGAAAGTACAACCGCAGTAAGGAGATCTGTAGAGAAGTAGATTACTGTAGTAGTTTATTTTAATAATGCATTTTTTTTACAGGCACTCACCTCAGTCACAGTTCCCTGTACATGATGATGAGATATTTGAAGTCAGGTTTCGGATTGGACTGTATGATCTTCTGAAGAAGAGTTTCATTCATGTACAAACTGTTTGTACAGTACAGTTACACCCTCGTGTTACTCTTTAACATTTGCATGGTTCCATCACGCATCTGTGATTTTGCTTTTTTTATTTTTGCATTCTTTGATAAAGTTTCTGGTAATCCAGCATAAAAAAAACTGCAGCACATAAACTGCTGAACATCCAAATATTAGGATGTAGATCTGGGTCTGTGAGTATGGTTTAAAGCTTTAAAACTGCAGTACTACCATGTGTTTCTGCAGTGTGTGTTTTATAACTATTTATTTCCCGGGTCATCATTATATTTAAGTGCAGCACAACACAAAACAGGTTCAACAGGTAATTGCTGGCTGTATTTATACTTCCTTTATCTCACCTAGAATGGCAGAGTAAAAACAAATGACCTGTAATGTACAGGTATGTGTCAGTTGTATACTTAAAATAATATAATAAAATATATATATATATGTAATAAATAATTCTATGATGCATTGTTCCAGGATAATGGCCCTGTTTAAACACGAGGCTAAAGGTGGCAAGAGTTTGATGCCAACATTTTTAATGATGACAGAACAAGTTAGAGTTGTATTGCATTTCATTCAACTATTGTCAATGGCCTTTTTGTCACACCGTCAAATGTGTTGACCTGCTATGATTGCCTATGTGATCAGGTTTGGGAACTATCTAGAAGTGGAACATAATTTAACGAACTTCTGTTTCCTCTTTGCGTTGATCTCTCATTGTTTCCTTTTCTCTTTATAAGCTGTTTCAGTCTTCACAAATATAGTATTTCTGACCTCCTCCCCATAAAACCAGTAGCGGCTGCCTATACGGTATAGCTCATTTGAAATGGATTTAAATTTGACAAATGAAAGTGCTTAACTACCAGGCATGGAATACGAAGAGCTGTGGTGAAACGACTGAGCTCGTTACTGGAGGATTGCCAGTTCGAATCCCAGCCCACTAGAAAAGTACTGACTTCCTTAAAAGAGTGCAGAAAAATATTGTTCTTTTGCCTGTTGAATAAATGTTAAAGTCGGTTACCGATCTGCAGAACACTCTTATTGTATGTTAGCAGGTGTACAACGTTTCCAAAAAAAAAAAAAAAAAAAAGCCTTTCATTCAAGAGTGAAGCACAACGACACAGGGGGAATTAAAATAGCTGTAACTGTAGGTGAGGTACAGGGGATACTATTCAGACTGGGAGAGGTGAACGAGAAACGTGTAGAAAATATTTAATCAAAACATTTTATTACTGTCTGTTTAACGATTTCCAACTCCGACTCGAGTGAAGGAATCCGTCTCTTTATTTCTTTATTTCTTAAGCTATTGCTGAGTGCAAGTTTTCCTCTCAGGTCAACGGCGACCTCCACAGGCTGCAATACGTAAATACATAAACAGGTAATGTAGATGCCCCGTTTCATCAACGGAGGGCGCTAAACGCTGTGAAAGCCAGCAGTGGGAGGTGCTATCGCAGCTGCAAGTCGGTTCCTTCCTACTGTTGGACCAACAGAGCTCCATCAACTAAGCTAGTTAGTTAGTTAGTTAGCAGTAAGCGATGTGTTTATGACTGCAAATCGCGGTGTAGCTGTAGCAATACCTCCGGATCATGTAGTAGTTAAAGTTAGCCCACAGCCCTGCTGACAATCATTTTAATGCCGCTAAGCTTGTGATTGCAAACGCTGCCGATTAGCTGCTTCATTCATGAGGCCGCTGGTGCACACGGCAGTTTGAGCTGTGAGTGGCGGGTAAGCTCAGGGGGACAACACGGCGAACTCACCGGTAAGTACTGACCTGTCCTGCTGCTACTGTTGGGAGCTAATGCTAAACTGCGCTAACTTTAGCCACAGTGTTTAAGCACAGACTCGCTGGTTATACAATAACACACCTGCCGCACGTCCTATTTACGTTTGAACTGCAAACACTCGAATGTAAATATGACGTGGAGCAGCATGGTGTAGTTCGGCTGCTCAAAAAAGCCATAATTTACAAAAAAAAAAAAAAATGTGGCCAATGTTGTGTAAATAAAGGGGATTTTAGTAGAGCCGTGGCTTATTGACAGTAATGTGGCACCCGATACCTACGTGTATACAAAGAAAGGACATGTGGTGGACTCACGAGGCGCTTGTTGCCTGTTTTTGTGTGAAATGTTTGAACAACATCGATGTCTTTGCGTTCTCCCATTACCATTACTTATTTATAACCACGTTTACGATACGGACTGTAATGCAGTGCTTTTAGAATACAGCAGTTCTATTCTATGTTAAAAGTCCTATAGTACTTTGACGTATTTTTACTGTTAAACCCACGCGTCTTTGTTGAGTTTGTCGTGTTGCTTTCTAATCCTCCTAGTGCTTAAATATACATTTATTTCCATTTAAATCCTTCGAAACATACTGGTGTTTCAATAACAAAACTTGAAGCAGTAACTTAAACTGTACAAGGAGTGTTTGCATTTCATTTTTAGATCCAGGGAACTTAATGGTAGAACTGGAACTTTTAGGTGGTTTCTGGTTGTAGGTTTTGGCTGCTGGCGATTAGAACTACCAGGGTGGAGCTGGAAGTTCACACCTCACCCCATTGTTTGCGGAATGGGCTGCATTTTATTTGTAGCCAAGTTGTGGACTCCATTCTTGTCTAGCCACTTCTGGCGTGACAGGAATATTCAAGCACTTTTGTGCATTTCTGGATGAAAAGGAAGTTCAGAAAGAGTCGAGTTGTTGTAAAATGATGTATATGCTCTAATTCCCAGCTTGTTGGAAAAAGAAACAGTTTATTGCGGGCATTTAAATCCTTGAAAATAGTTCCAGGGTCATTTATTTTCTTCCACTACAGGTTTGAGGGATTACAAATACTTACAGATTCTGGCTCTTTTCATTATTTTCTTCCCCTTACTATCTCAACAAATTATTATTGTTGCAATGAGTTGCTAAATTACATTCATAATAATATATAGCTCACACATTCTCCTCATTGCATCTACATCCATGTCCTTGACTTTGTTGAACAAAAAAGTTTGAGTTTCATTATTCCCTTGGGGCAGTGTTCAGGGATTATAAGCACAATTAAAATGAAGCTCTGTGTCATTCCAGCCTCCCCCTGTCTGTTTAAATGCACATCAGGACTACTGTTTTTTCCCCACAGGTCACTTAGTCACCAGGTCACTCTGGTTCCTACAGAACTGTTAAATGAACAGTGCAGACACAGTTTTGTAACATTGCTGTCTCCTGATTCCTGTTTTAGATCAGGAGTATGGTGGTCCCGGACAGTGCTGGCGTGGTCCCACAGCCGGACAGCGTCAGTCCTGCTGGCATCATGGGGGGCTCAAAGCCTGCATGTGACGAGGAAGACGAAGGCAGTCCAGACCTTGTAGGGGTGGAGCTGGAGGAGGTGCGAAAGCTGCAGGAGCTTGTCCGCAGGCTGGAGGTCCAGAATGAGACCCTGCGCAACAGAGGAAGCAAGGCGATTGGTCAGAGAGGTTCTAGCAACAAGAGCAGCATCACAGCTGCTGCCGGTATCAGTGAGAGGCTGTCGTGTGAAGTGGTAACTGACAGTGGCCGAAGTTTGGAGCACAGCGGGAAACTTGGCAGCACAGACTTTGATCTGTCACCTCCACAGGATTGCAGCAGTAGTGAGGAGATGTCCCCTCTGCCTGTTGCAAGTAGACCAGAGGACGGGGGTCCGTATGGAGACTTTCTTACCTTTTCCTCCAGCAATGGAGTCGGGGAGAGCCAGGGACAAAGTCAGACACCCGAGAGTCCGTCTCAGGAAAGTTTCGAGTCAGAGACGCTGGCAGAGAGCGACTCGGGGATGGAGCAGACTGCACTGGATGAAGTGGATGTCCTAGACTTGGAGGATGAGTGTGGAGAAGTAGATGATGAGGACAGCTGGTGAGTTCATCTGACTTTTTTTTTTTGGGTGATCTAGAAGGTAGGTGAATGTCAATCAACCATATATATTTATTACATGCAATACTGATAGACATTGACACTTTTATTGATGCAAAATATAAATGTTTTAGAACTCCTGCGTACACATAAGGAAAGGCTATAGATAGGACTATTATAGCCTCCCCACCTCAACATTTATAACTATAATTCTTCTTATTATAATTTCTTATTATAATTTCTTTTAAAGTAGTGACTCAGAGTCATAGTAAATTATGTTATTGATAATTCTCAAACCCATTGGTGTTAAGTCTAGAAGCCAATCATTAACCTCAGTGCTTACATCACTGTTGCATGTCACGCTCCGGTGTCCTGAGCTTTAGCCCCGGAATGGTGACAACAGCATTACAAAGGTACACAGTCACATCAATGCGTGGCTTTGTATTTTGACACCAGCTCACAGGGAGAGCTGAGGCTCACAGTGCTGTACATTAGACCTTAGATTTGTCATGGTGTTAAATGATATAAAATGTAGCCCTTGGGCAGATACAGATACAGGAACTGTTTTTATGACACTTGTCTAGGTGTGGCGAACCTCTGTGACTGTAAACAGTGTCAGTGTCAACGGTGAGAAAGAAGTTAAAACAAAGGTGATGTGAGACCAGGAAAAGTAAAAGGATACGATGATGTTACTCCAGACAGCGAGTAGGAGGAAGAGCCTGACTCGGGAGTGAAGTAAAAAAAGAAAAGTAATACTTTTTTTTTTTCTCAGATGCAAAAGATGAGTTCAAACAGAGAATTGTGTAATTATATCAATAATAAAAACAATTAAATTTAATAAATAGTAAAATATGAACAAATAAAATAGAAAATATGAATCAATTATTTATATTTATTTTTAACCAAACATTTCATAATCAATGAGAATATATTCTATTCATCATGGATCTGTGCTTGGTTAAAGGTGTGTTCAGTTAGTGTTAGTGAAATGAGATTAGTCTGGATAACATAGCTGCAGTTGTTTGCTTCAGCTGTTGTGTGAGGCCTATAAACCAGCTCATCTGTGACTCTGTGCAACAGACCAACCATTCATTACTTACTTACGGTTTCACATCATTAGCCGTACCGTATGTGCTTTTGGGGTCGTAACTAAAAAACTCCCAGTAATCCTCACAGAGGCATAATCTGTTCTACACGCGTCAGGCTGCTGCTGCTGCCCAGAGAAACTGCTGTGGGGGCATGTGGTCTAATGTCAGCACAAAGACTTAGAGTGAGCAGAGGATTTCTTGGAGGACCTGAATTAGAAGGCACTCGACCACAGTATGTAGGTTTATTAGACCAAACCTGCTGACGCACAGTGAACTTTAGTTGTTACAAGTCAATATATCGGGCCTCGAAAATCTATTCACACTGACATAACCATTGACAGCACTGAGCTTAGCAGTAAAAATATAGTTCTTTAATATATATGTCTTCTATGATATATTTTTTGACACGTGTATATATGACACATTGCATATATATATATGTATGAAAATATATTATGTGTAGACACATACATACACACATATGCTCACACATAAATATATATTTTAATATGTTTATGTGTATGTGACTATATGTTTGTATATGTGTAATAAATATGTATATGTTTAAACACTTAATCTATTCAAGCCTCATGCATAACATTTTTACGAGGAAGATGACACCACACACACACACTCAAACACACACACACACTCACAGAGAAGCTGTGGTTGTGTGACCTAAATATTGCTCCCTGTATTGTTGCTCATGCCTGTGGGAAAAGTGTCTCTTTGTGTTTGGCCAATGGGAAGATGATTTGGAGGCAATTGGTCCCGAACCAGTCATTCCGGGCCGTTGTGTGTGTTCAGCTGAAAGAATCAGCCCGTGTGACCGACACATGAAAGCCTGTGGTGAACCCAGAGCTGTGTTTGCTCTCACTGTTGCAACATTAGAGCCTTTGCAGACGAAGCATCATATGTGTTGAATTCAGTTACTGACTGGCTTTGACACCACTGTTTATTTTCTATTTTAGTTGAATATTGGTTCAACTAACCAATATCAATGTCACAGGATAAAGTATTTTTAATTTTAAATATTTATAATAAAACTCATCTGCCAGGGGCTTAAATTATTGGTTCTGGGAATTAAAAATGAAACAATATATCAAAAATTTTGACCCTCAGTTTTGGTTAAATTATTTGTGTTCTTCACATCGTAGTAAATATGCTTGTTTCTCTCAGGTTATACGTGTCTCCCAAAAAGCAAGTTGCAGACACTGGGCCTGAGTCTCCAATGAAATGGTGTCGACAGGCTCTTGACCACAAAACCCCAGAGACAGAACTGGCTTGTCGAACCCTCATCAGCCGTCTGGACCAGAGTGAGTGTTAACCAAGCGTGTACTTTTTTCTACTTTTATCAGCCGTCTGGACCAGAGTGAGTGTTACACAAGCGTGTACTTTTTTCTTTTTTCTACAGTTGATGCACCTGCAGGAACTCCTTCACTGATTCTGAACTCTTTGTCTATGCAAATTGAAGGAGCAGTCTGATATGACCAGTTCAATGAGCACAGAAGACTGAACTTAATTTAAGCCTCACTGAGACGCGTGAGGAAAAAATGAGGAATTTTCTGCCAAAAGTTCAGATTAGGGAGCCTACAGCTGGAGTCAGTTCTGTCTTCTTCTGTGTCTCCATAATTACTGGTCAGCTCCACTTTGACTGTGTTGGTTTATTTAAGTTGCCAGACGTTGCTACTCTGCTCCTGGTGAATGTGTGTGTGGTACGTCTGTGTACTTTGCCTACATGCTGACACAAACCTGTGTCTGAACCAACGGCCACTATTCATTATTTATCCTGCTCACAGCTACCACCTCCTGCACACTGCAGGGCCCCGGACAACAAAGGTAGTCACACTTGAACTGAATGACAACATGAAGTCAAAGGATGGATTAAATTACCTTCCCTTCTGGTCTGCTTTTTTTTTTTTTCTTTTTTTTATGACAGCATTGGGTCATAAAAGACTCACATGATAACAATGAGGATGTAGTCGAACTGCAGACCAATAAACTCTTGTTAACACTGTTAAATATGAAAAATGACAAATTATATCAGTAAAGTGATTAAAAATCATGGTATTGTCGATGTGAGGAGATGCTGATCTGCCCAGACTTTCTCCCCTAGTTTACTCCCTGCAATAGTAAATGTATTACTTCAGTTTTTTTTTATTTACCTGCAATATTTCTAAGTGACTTATATCTGCAAACTCAACAGTATAAATTCAAGAAACTGCAAGCTGTTATCTCTACCACTACAGCACCAAGCTGTACTTTACTTCTTTATACCCTGTACTGTACTCTGCTGCTGTTAAAGCTGTGAATTTCCCCACTGTGGGACGAGGCTTATTTTATTACCATTGGCGTGTGGAGACGACCACATAGCCGACCTAACAGCCAGAAAAAACCCTGGACCAGATGCAGATGTAGAGTTGCATCGGCCCAGTGAGTGCAGGGGTGTTGATTCATAAGAGAGGCTGCAGAAGTTTGCTGCAGACCTTATCATTCATACAGGCTCCGTGTACAGTATGTACCACTGTTCTGTAGCATGTCTGTCCTTTCTAACAAATTGACAGCGACTCCTCTGTCCTCTCTCACCACCTGCAGCATCTCGTTGGAGGAACATGTACAGCAGCCCGTCGGCGGAGGCAGGCTCGGGAGGCTCAGGCCCGATCTCTCCTGGGTACCACAAATCAACTAACAAATCCCTACTAACCTGTGGCACCTCAGGTATGGCATGATATTAACACACGTCGCTCTGTTCTTTCTGCACTACAGAACGATGGGCTTGACCTCAGTCACTGTAAGAATTAAGGGGTTATGCTGTTGTATGTGTGTGTGCCAGAGAGATGTTTGTAGGGTGTTTTGCATGTTAATTGTGAGTGTCATTCTGTACATTATTGCTAACTGTTTTCCAAACACCACATGTTTTAAGGCAACAATTAAGAAAAACATAACAGGGGTTAAGAAAACCATAATGGATGGATAAAAAAAATCCACTCAGACCACAGCCAATTTTAATTCTTTGGAGCCTTTGATACTGTGACCTTGTGACCCATGACATTTCAGTTTACAGATTATGGTGATGTTGGTTTGAATAACAAATCTCTGCATGAAATCAGGGGTCTCAAACTCAAAAGAGCTGAGCCATCATCTGACATGATGTTATATAAAAATAACATTTGATATACAGTAAAATATTTTATATGTAAACTATTTTTCTGTGATTCCTAGATGACCAATTGAACCATTAAAAAAGGAAAAGCAAATACCTCCATGGCAAAGTTAAATTATATTTATGACATCTAGACGTGGGCCATCTGCAGGTGGCCCCTGAGTTTTGAATTTGAGACCCTTATTCCAAATGCTTACCCTGTGGGAATATTTCACATGCTCTTGGGTGATGTCATTTAATGTTTAGTTGCACGTTTGAATTAATATGCCATTTGAGGGTCAAAAAGTTCTAAAACAGATTGAGGGAAGAGATTATTGCAGAAATATATTTAGCAGCAGGTCAAATTAAAATAAATTAAAAATCAATTTTAGAACTTTTTGAAATACCATGAAAATGCATAAGACTTTCCTGAACATGTACCAAAAAGCTTCACTTGTTGCAAATAATTGCTTAGTTGATGTTCCATAACCAATACAGGAGTATTTAAAAAATTAATAAATATACCTTCCGTATTATCCGGACTGTTAGTCACACTTGTGTTTGTTTGGCAGACCCTGTGACTTGTTTTCAGAAATGCTTATATATAGCAGAAATATACCCCATATAATTTACCGATCAATTTATTATAACCACACTTTGCAGTGCGGTGTAACTTGAGACTGGGTAAAGGTTTGATTCCAGTTTCATCTGTCATCACACACAAGGCCAGTGACTGTTAACGCCTCTGACCAAAAACCAAACATCTTGTCAAAGTAGCTTTTGTCAATGGATGAAAAGTAGCTTTTTGTAACAGGTATCCCACTGTGCTTCCAGGCATCACAACCATGCACTCAGCCCTGAGCTCCCAGTCTTCTATAGACAGTGAGCTCAGCACATCTGATGACTCCATCTCTATGGGCTACAAGCTGCAAGATCTCACCGACGTCCAGATCATGGCTCGTCTACAGGAGGAAAGTGAGTAGTGTCGTGTTTACTTGTTCTTGTGCTCTCCTCAGTAGGTCAGGTGCATTATTTGTCTCTGTGTCACTCTTAGTGACTTGCTACCATGTTTATTGTCAGGTCTCAGGCAGGATTACGCTTCCAGTTCAGCCTCAGCATCACGCCGTAGCTCCACAGCATCTCTGCAGTCCCTGCGCCGGGGGGGAAACTACAGTGACCAAGAGTTTGACACCTACAGCCTGGAGGACGAGGAGGAGGAGGAGGATTTCAACTTTGTGCCACAGCGAAGACCTCGTTTCACCCCTTCACCATTGGGTTCACCCCGTTGTCTCTCTCCCTCCACCTCCAACCATGGTCAGGAACGCAGCAGCCGACTGGGGGCCCAACGCACAAAAACACCAAGAAGATCTCTTCAGGGCCCCAGTGCAGAGCTACTAAAGTTTGCTAAGAGTGAAGGTATCTTGTTTGTTTTGTTTTTGAATAGGGAAATGAAGGCTGTAGGTCAGTCACAGAGATTGCTGGTAGTTGTGGTGTTGGTGAAACTGTTGTGTATGTGTGATTACAGCGGAGTTAAGGCACAGCATGCCTAATCTAGCCCCTCGCACCAGCCTACGTTCCCTGGAAGCAGTCAGAAACAGCCGCAGCATGGAGGCTAACCTCCAGAGCTCTGGCAACCGCATGTCCCACCTGACCCACTCCCCCTCCACAGGTAACCCTGTCCTCCTCATCTGTACCATAACACCATGATTATCTTCACTTATGTGGGTTTGTTTTCTACAGTTGTAACAATTAATCAAGATTAAACCACTGCTGCTCTGTAACGAATCAGATTGAAAGTATGAATAGTTTGACAGTCCTAGTTTTTGTTCTGCCTTTTGTCTGAACTTTCAATAATTTATGTTTATTTTTAAATAAACATAAATTAAATAAACATTAATGAACATAAATAGATTGCACTTTTCTGAAAACATTTTCACAAGGAAAAATGTGATTGACAAAAAATCTTTATTCAAAATAGAGGAAGATGTAGTTGCATATCATTAAGTTACTTTACTGTTACTGTATGTAGGTGATGGCTGCTTTTTGAATACAATATTTCAATTTTCCCTTGACCCCCTGATCCCTGACCGCTTATCGTCCCCCAGCACTTCCACAAATTATGTTCTATCTTCAAATTCCTTTTCCTCACCTGTTAAATGTTTTGTTTCCACCACTCGCTCTGAATGTATACATGGAAGACTGTAGTACTTAGATCTGAAACTCTGTGTTTCTTAACTTAATCTGTCCTTGTGATTATGAAGTATCTTCCCATTGCCCTAAGATACAATCAGTGATTTAAATCAAGTTGAGCATATTTGAAGTTGTCACACAAAAAATTACCAATGTTATTTCAATGTTTTCCACCTCAGGAATGACTAGTAGTCGAATACGTAGCAACGGCCAGTCTCCACTGACCATTCGAACTCCGATTAAAGCTGTCAATCCAGTTGGCTCAATGGTGCCTGGTCACCAACAAACGAGAGGTCTGCCTGTGATCCAAGGACCATCTGCAGGAGGGGGACGCAGAGGCCAGTCCCCAGGCTCCGCCAACGGCAGAGCTTACATACCTGGGCGAGCTTCGACGGGGGCGATGCGGCCTGCTGTGGGGCAAGGACAGGCAGCTTCAACACTGTCCCCCAGAAGTAAACTTGCACAGCCTACAAGAAGGTGAGTATTTGTTTAAAATATACAAGTAGACAGAGAAATGCTTGAAGAAACTGGTAAGTATAAATTTGCCTACCTGCGACTGGTGTGAACTGATCTTTTCTCTCTTGTTAACTAGGTCTATGGGGATGACTAAATTCGCAGATGATTCCTGGAAAGAAGGATGCTACTGAACCACTTTGGTGATGAAGGACATTCACTGCTGCATTTCTCATCTGATCTGAGTGTAAAGGCCACAGCCTCTGGGTCCACATACAAGCTCTCCTATTTCAAACTGGAGTATTGGGCAGCACTGGATTCATAGAAACTCACACATTTCTCTGACACATTGTCATGAAACATTGTCGACCCACACAGCAAAAAAATGTGCTGGAAGAAAAAGAGAACACATTTCTGGGCTTCCAATAGATCTGTTTCAATTCTAACTATTGTTCTATGCAGACCATCAGAAACTGCTGGAATTTAAGGGGTTGTAATTATTGTTCCATATATATATAATTGATGTGAAGAAGATTTAAAATGAAGATATTGCTGGTTTGTTCTTTTTGTGAACTTCCACTAGATGAAGGTGCTGAGTGTTGCATGTCTGGTTCTTTTCTTTTTTTTTCATATTCCTTCAATGTTTTAAAAAATAACATGACTACAGTATGATAAATTCTACGTGTTTTATAATGATGTGTGAAAAATTGAACATTTAGTAGTTTATAACTACATACCCAGTTTGTGTTGTATTTGTGTCTGGTCTTTGCTAACACAATAGCTGACCACACTGTCTTTATGGAAATTTAAAAGTGTGCCAAGGTGCATTTCGGCTACAACTTTCTGTAATTTCAGAAATCATCTTGATTCATCCTAGGTGCTGGTGATGAACTGAGTTTTCCAGATATTTTTACTGCATATCTGAAGCTTTATCTGCTTTAGGATGTCACTGTTAAGAAGATAATGTTTATGCACGAAGGCAGTGTGCCTTACACAGCTATGCACCCTTATGCAGAGTGCCTCTAAACATTAGAAGCTGTAAAGAAAAGAATAATAAAATCTACTCTGAAAATGCAATGGTTTCCTTGATCTTCTGTGATCCTCTGAAGATTGTTGAGATCGGGATAATTGTTTACACTGCGTAAACCGTCAAAGAACATTGTTGCTTTCATATGTCATTCGTTTCCGTGGTTCCTGACCAATTGCTTTGTAAAGTAATCGACGCTTTGAACCCTCCCCCTATGACAAAATGGCCTACAGGCCTCATCTACACATTCCAAGTCAGTCAACAGTTCACAATCGCAATCCACATTTCCCATATCTGACTTTAAAACAGTTTTAGTATTATGTTATAAACAGAGTACATCCCTATCAGAAGAACGACTTTTAATGTAACTCTGCTCTGTTATGCATGACGCAAATAGTAAGGGATCAGCGGTAAACGAGGCCACGCATTGTCTGCCCCCCGCCCTCCCTCTGCTTGTCAGGAAGCAAGCTGATTGGCCGAGGCCTAGCAAAGAGCGCCCGGGGATCCAAAACTGCAGGCCGCACTTAGCTTACCGTCAAAAATAAACCAAAACAAAAACAGACAAAAGTAAGGAGAGGAAGAGACACCGATAGAGTCAGAAGACGACGTTATCAGGTAAAATTGTTTTGAATCAATGAAAAGGGTATGTAGAATACGAGGTGTAGGCCCAGTCGGCCGTAGCGGCCTCTTTCAGCCTTTTCTAAAAACAACATGGAAGATAATGCGGCACAAGCTGCGCCACTTAGCTTAGCAGGCTAGCTAGCACTACTGGCGGTGTATGTGGTATGAAATAAAGAAAAACGAAAATGATTTACAGAAAGAATACGTTCCGTTTGGTACACGTGAAAATGGTAGCTAGCTCTGTTATTTCTTGCTACGTTTGGGTGCTCGCAAACGTCAGACAACATTTATAATCCTTTGCCTGGAGTTAGCCGTTAAAGCTAAAACAAAATGGCGCCCAGAGGAGTAGCCCGAGCTTGCTGGCTAGTTCATTAGCCGGTGGGTAGAGGGCGGTAGCCGCCTTCAAGAATGCGTTGCATAACGTCTGCGGTACTATAAAATGATAGACAATATATGATTCGTTTACTCCTGTCTACCAATGTAAAGCACATATAATTAAACATTTCCAAATTGGGATATTTTAGCGATTTTACTGTGAAGCCATGTACGTCACGACATAGTGCAGCAGGCAGTCGTATTTTGCTTATTTTGACCGTCATGTGGCAACTGTGATTTCTAGCCCTTGCAAACTCGCAGTCCCGAGATCACGGACCAGTAGCTCGTCCCACGGCACATAAAGTTGGACAAGCACAACGAGCCTTTGTCTCAACTGGGTTCCAGCTATCGGGCTCAACCAGGTCCTGGTGTATAGCACAGCGCTTGGCGGTTGTACCTGGCTGTAGTACACTGTATAGGCAGTGGATGGAGCCCGTGATCAATAACAACACAACTCTCCCTTCTTTCTGACCCATAACGTTGTTGGGTTGTTTATTCTTTTTCAGTTTGTACACACGTTATCTCTCGTCTTGACACAATCTGAATCCGAAGTGTATTCGTAAAGCATTGACTCTGATGTATTATTATAACCCCCGTTTCAATGTTATTAATGCAGTACTTAATGTTGTCTTTTTTTCTCATTTTAGGAGGACCAAGTACATTAATGGAAGCAAGTGCAGCACACACCTTACTGATTTTATTCTAAGGCTTTTATAATCAAATGTGAAGGTATGATGTTTAAGTTGGGTGTAAAATTTTTGTTAATTGAATACTTTTCTGAAAAGCCACAAAATCAAGGTTGCCAACTTGCAGAATAGTCCCTTGACTGATAAATGCACACCGTGTTTGTAGGCCAGGTTGTTTTTATTTATTACATCAACTAAGAGTAATCAAGTATTATATTTTATTTAGTAGGATATTTTTTAACATCAAATGGAGGTTATTATCTAACTTAGTATAAATGGTGATTTCCAGTCTTTTTTGAAGGAAAAACATGGATCAAGGAGGAGGGGTGTTGGAGTTACATACCCAAGAACTAAAGATGCCACACGCTATGATCATGCAAGACTTTGGTAGGTGTTCCCAAGAACACTGTGACAAACATCATATTGTAAGCAAGTGTAAATCTCAGCATATAACAATCCAAATAAAGTGTCTCCACTTTAAAAACTGAGTACATGTATTTTTGAGATTACCAAGTGGTCAAATACTAAGACAAAAGATGATGTTGCATTCACATATAGGGAGGGATGAGGGATGTTGTTAACAACTGGCACATCTTTGTTTAATATGCAAAAATATTTGTATTTAATTGTCTTTGTTTTTTCTCATCACTACTCTTTCTTTTGTATGTTGACAGTTGCAGGCATGGGAGGTCTGGCTCACATCGATGGGGAGCACATTGTTGTATCTGTTCCTGAGGGTATGCTTCTTTCTGATGTGATGACAGATGAGGGCATCCTCCTGGAACATGGGCTTGAGGTTGAAGGCCTGGAGACTCAAGTAGTTGAAGGCCTGGAGACCGAGGTTGTTGAAGGACTGGAGACTGAAGTTGTGGAGAGCTTACATGCGGAAGTAGAAGGCTTAGATGCAGAAGTAGTTGAGGGGCTGCAGACACAGGTGGTGGAGTTAGAGGCTCAGGTTGTCGAGGGTCTCGAAGGGGAGGTTGAGGTGGAAGGTCTGGAGGCACAAGTGGTTGAGGGTCTGGAAACTGAGGTTGATGTTGAAGATTTAGAAGCTCATGTTGTTGGAAGCCTTGAGGAAGAGGTGGAGGTGGAGGGTCTAGAAGCTGAAGTTGTTGAAGGTCTAGAGGTAGACGTTGAAAGCTTGCAGTCTCAAGGTGTCGAGACACATGAACTGACCAGTGAACACATGGTGCCTTCGGGGCACAGTGTAATCATGCCTGAAAATATCCTGGGGACTGAAGTGGCTATAGAGGAGGCTCTAGACCATCACCACCACCATCATCATCATGTCCTCACCTCAGATCTCATCCAGGACTCAAATCACCACCATGATGATATGACAGACCAGGTGTTTGTGGCAGAGCTGCTCTCTGAGCACCAAGATAACACCCTGGACCACCAGCTTGTGTCAAGAGGGTTGATGGTAACTGAGACAGGCTCAGAGACCATAATCCACGAACAGCTGCCAACTGAAGGAGTTCCTTTGCAGACAGATGAGGATGATGATGCAAGAAGCAGCTCGGAGGATTACCTCATGATCTCATGTAAGACATTTTGACATATGATGGACACTTAAATAATAAAAAATACTATTCTGGTTAAATGTATATATTTTTTGTGCAAAAAATGTTTTTTTCATTGTAGTAGATGAAGTTGGAGAAAAGTTAGACATTGGAGACACTCCCCTTGAAATCAGCACAGAGGTAATGGAAGACAAGGACTCCAAAGAGGTGGATGGTTCAGAGGTTATCAAAGTCTACATTTTTAAAGCTGAGGCGGATGATGATCTTGGCAAGTGTCTAACTATGTCTATACCAAAAACACTATATTTTCAAAAAATAACCATAAAAGTTATGGTGATAACATCATGAATTTTTACTTTTCCAGGTGGGACCGAGGTTATAACTGAGGATGATTACCAGAACGGCCACCCGGACCTGGAAGCTGCCTCATCGGGCAGACTGGGAGTTGGTCGTGACAAGATGGTGTACATGGCAGTCAAAAACCCTCCTAAAGAAGAGGAAGAGGATGATGATAATGACAGTGATGAAGAAGATGATGAAATTGGTATGTTTTTTGTTTTTTTCAGGACAGTGCTTAGTATTTGTATTTTAGGTGTTAGTTTGTTAAACAAAACTAAGAATCAAAATCTGTTGGTGGTTGAAACCCAATGTAAAAATAAAATATTTTAGCTCTTATCTTTAAATTAGCATATTTTTCATTAATGCCAATAAACTACTATCTCTGTACAGGTAACACCATTGATCAGGTGAAAAATGGAGCGTCTACACCATTTCTTCAAATCCGCAATGGACCAGCTGCAAATCGTGCACTGAAATCCAAAGTTAAGAAAAGGAAGAAAGGAGATACCCGACAGTGTCAGACTGGTATGCAATTTTACAGAATGTTCCATTGATGATGTAAAGCAAGATAATGGGAGATGATGTGGTAATTTACTTCCGCAATAAGTCACACTCAATGATGTTTACAGTGTTCTAATCTAAAGGTATTTTTCAAAATTGTCTTCCAGCTGTCATCATTGGACCAGATGGTTTGCCTTTGACAGTATATCCCTGCCACATATGTGGAAAGAAGTTTCGCTCACGTGGTTTCTTAAAGTGTCACATGAAGAATCACCCAAATCATCTGCTCAAGAAAAAGTACCAATGTACAGACTGTGACTTTACCACCAACAAGAAGGTCAGTTTCCACAACCATTTGGAGAGCCACAAACTGCTGAGCCACAACAGTGATCGCTCTCCAGAGTATGCAGAGTATGCACGTCGCTACCACGAGTCCAGTCCACTGGGCTCTGATAAGCTTATTGTCAAAGACCGGGAGCCGAAACTACATCACTGCAAGTACTGCAATTATGAGACAGCCGAACAGGGTCTACTTAACCGTCACCTGTTGGCTGTGCACAGTAAGAACTTTGCACACGTGTGTGTGGAGTGTGCCAAAGGCTTTCGCCATCCATCTGAGCTAAAGAAGCACATGCGAACCCACACAGGCGAGAAGCCCTATCACTGTCCGCACTGCGAGTTCCGCTGCGCAGACCAGTCCAACCTAAAGACTCATATCAAGAGCAAGCACGGTGCAGATCTTCCCTTCAAGTGTAGTCACTGTCCCCAAGCTTATGCTGACGCCCGGGAGCTCCAACGTCACATAGAGATGGTGCAAGGCCATAAGACCCACCAGTGTCCACACTGCGATCACAAGAGCACCAACTCCAGTGACCTGAAGCGGCACATCATCTCCGTTCACACCAAGGACTTTCCTCATCAGTGCGATGTGTGCGAGAAAGGTTTCCACAGGCCCTCTGAGCTGAAGAAACATGCAGAAACACACAAGGGCAACAAGGTGCACCAGTGCCGGCATTGTAATTTCAATGCTCCTGACACGTTCACCTTGAGCCGCCACATTTTGTCCCTGCATACCAAGGACCTCCCTTTTAAATGCAAACGCTGTCAACGAGGCTTCCGACAACCCGCTGAGCTGAAGAAGCACATGAAGACACACAGTGGTAGAAAGGTGTATCAGTGCCAGTATTGTGAGTATAACAGTACGGACGCTTCTGGCTTCAAACGCCATGTCATCTCCATCCACACCAAGGACTACCCACACCGCTGTGACTACTGCACCAAGGGCTTTAGGAGGCCTTCTGAGAAGAGCCAGCACATAGCCAGACATCACAAAGACATGATAATGTAACATCACCATGCACAAACTTACACTCCCCCTGCTCCACCCCCAAGAAAATTTGTGTCACACCCAGAGGTAATTTTAGTGTATAAACAGTGTAGTGATGGAGGACATTGATGGGGACAACATGTAATTGCAGTTTTGTTCTGTGTTGGGTGTAAACCTCTTCCCCCAAAGGTAATAAAAGAACACATTTTAGATGAGGTGAAGTCTAACAAAAAAAAATCGGTGTATACACTGAGTGGGACATCTGTAAATTGTTTTGTTTTGTTGCAGAAAATCACTTATAAGCATATATTCAGGGTTTCAAATGTCTATATTTTTATACCCACTCAGCTGAAATGCTGCGAGATGATCACTTTGTCTTGTAAAACAAAAGCGATGCTTTGTCAACATCATGCCAGTTCATCCGAAGATGTGGACTAAGTTCCAGGAACATTTGCCTCCAACTAGTACCGACTAGTATCTGTTTTCCTCATCACATAGCTTCAAATCATGACACGTGTTTGTATCCACTTGGTCTTTACAGGACATAACTTATCATGATTTCGTGAATGGTTTTCAACAAAGTCTATACACAGTATGCACCTTAGAATGGCATTCTATTCACTGACAGTTGAGCCCTCAGCATTTCGAAATTCTCCACATACGTGAGTGTTGGAGTTAGTTAAAAGGAATCATGTATCATATAGGAAAATGGAATGGAAATGGTCCTGATCTGATCGAGCATGTCTTGCAAGGAGAAGTGGTCTGTTGGTATACAAAAAAGTTCCCTTAAGCATAAAAAACACATCTCTGACACAAACATTGTATCTGTAAAACTAGTACCGCTATTTAGTAAGAGGTGTATGATTATTTGAGCTTGATGGTTGACTCTAAAGCAGACATAACAGCTGACATCCTGTTAGAGATAGAAAGAGAGCTGGATGTTAGCCATGATGGAAAAGTGCACTCTCTCTCTCTTTCTGTCTGCTAACCATGTGATTGCAATCATGCCTTACATCTGTTGGTCTTTTTTTTTCCTTTAAGCACTGATAAACACAGCTATTGAAAATATGTCATTTTTAACTCAAACATGCTGTACCAATGCCTCTCTCTCAGAGAGTAGGTGTTTCGAGTCAGTAGAAAGCACTTTAATACTTTAACTTTTTTGAATTTTAATTATGTGTAAAGGGACTTTATAAATACATATATATGTATTACTTGTGTGCATATATATATATATATATATATATATGCACACACTGTATATGATTATATATGTATATATATAGTCTTTCTCTTTATGAACCCTACATCATATTAATAAAAATAAAGAATCTTTGTGAGTGGGTAAAGATAGATTTCAGTGTTATGTCTAACAGGTGAGCACGATGTGTTACTGTATCAAAACCGAACTATCGTCAACTGCGGTGAGTGGAAGTATTTGTTGTTTTGTACTATGGAAATTGATTGTCTGGGTTTTGTGTTCTGTTTGTGCTCACTAACATGTTTCCCACACCATCACCCCCCATTTCCCGTCTTCAATAGCCTGACCTGCTCATAAACAGTGGAATATTCCTTCTTTGAAGTCAGTGGTCATCATATTGGCATAAGTCATAAAATATGCACATAGGCTGTTTTCCAGAAAAAAAATGAATTGTGATATACATATATATATATTTAAAAGAATCCCTGCATTTCGTGTATGTTATTTTCTTTCAGTCTGATTGTGGATAAACTACTGGTGGGGAACAACCAAAATAAACAATTATCTTTTTACTTTTTTGTCTTTTTTGCTGCATAAAATATTTAATACTGTCTTAAGGGTTCATTCAGTTTTTCTTTTTATAACCTTGTGAATAGCTCATCTATTCACAAGGTTAAAAAAAAACAGGATTGCTCTGCATACATTTAGAGGGTGGCCAAGTACCGTACCACCAGTGGTACATTAAGAAGAAGAAAGTGAATTATTTGTCATTGTGACACAAGCACCCGGGGAGCAGTGGACGGTGCCATGCTCAGCACCAACCATAGTCTGGAAAGGGTTTTTGTAAGAGTAAGTGGTACTTATGACCATAATGACTCATGCATCTGGAAACATTGGTAAACATCTTTAATACATTGAAGTTAACTGTATTGTTTCACTAAAAACATTCAACCAGCAGCAGTACCAGCTGAGAAAATATTTTCCACAGAATGAAATTCTGGGCTGGTGTAGATTCACAAAAACATCTTTCTTTCTCTGTTGTCTTTGTCTCAGCACAAAGGCATGCTGACACACCTACATCCCTAAAGGCCATGGCTGTGATGAGAACTGAGGCACACCCTGATAATCCAGCCGATGCAGAAGGTCAAAGTAATTTATTAGACGTAGTCACTTTGTCCACAACCCCAAAGATACCTGTGGTGTTGATGTGGTTGGAATCAGGAATTTGCTGGTGTGCAGCAATGCGGAAAACCATTTTCAATTTGAAGATGTTATTATTTTTAATAAGTATAGGAAATTAATTTTAAGAGTTGTTTTTACGGTTATGTTTCTGTGTCTGTTTAACCAACAGAACAGTAAATGAAGCTGTGAGTGTGTCGATAGCTTGTCTCGCTGGTGGACAATGACATTGACAGGTCATGTAAGTAAAGTTATAAATAAATCTAAAGTTTCTAACAATTTAATACTTGTTGGAATTGGCTCCAGGTCACCCTGAAAGATCAGAAGAATAGATGTGGGAAAAGCTGGAAGTTTGAGGTCAGTATTACTTGTTATTAATTGTAATTGTTTGTTTCTTTATAAATTATTTTTTATTAGTAAAATGTCATACACTGAGTGTTGTTTCATGCTCACTACAGCACTGCAGTTCTTCTGGGTTCCTGCCTATTTTCTGAAACCTATGCATTTAGACCAAATAAGGTATGTATTTAGTTCAAAGCCTTGATTTCCCTGATCATGTGAAAAATGACAATTTTTTTTTTTGACAAATGTGCCCTTATTTACCAATGTAGAACACACGGCACATTTACACAACCTGGTAAGAATTTTGTTTCATCAGACATTGTAATAAATTAGTTTTTATGTCACTAAAATCTATCTTCAAAAATATTAACAACATTTGATTATTTCTTAGTATTTGTGGGTAGAGCTACCAAGGTAATTTGTATTAATGATTTATGAATCAGAAGAAACATGTTTCCTAAATATCCACTAGAGGTCAATGTTATCCCATTTTTTAAACAGGAACCGTAGCTGCACTGATTAACTGTGACATAAAAAAAAGAAAGAAAATGCACTACCATATTTACGGCAATAGTTGCGTTTTTAATTAATCAGCCACAAATTAAGAATCAGACCGTGTTTTGAGTTTGTCGAATTTCGGTTTATTTATGAGATTAGTGCAGGGACAAAATGTTCAACATTTTACTCGGTTCCTAAAAAAAAAAAAAAAAACTGATTCCGCAGAAAGTAAAATAATTGCCTTTAGTGATTGTGAATGCTTATCTGTTTGAGGCAATTAATAACTTGGATAACTAGATTCCTGAAAACCGTTTTCTTAACCATCAGCTTGTTTATACCGCTCCCTCTGGGCAGATTATTTCGACCAGGATCACGGCAGAGACGCGTCACTTGGAGTAGGCGTGGCCAGCAGGAGCTTTACCACCCCCCCCTCCGTATGGATGCAGCAGAGTTGGAGTGTGACAGGAGAGAGGAGCAGATAGATGATCGACTCGCCTTTCCTTTCAAACCTCCGGTTTTCAGTGATGGAGAGGATGGAGACGTGTCAGTTCACACTGCTCGACTCTCACTACAGCTGGAAAATTCTCTTCGTCTTCTGGCTCTTCACCAGCGGGACCCCCACAGAGCGCACCAACTATGGATTGCTTCACTAAAGTTGGGCCACCTGATCCAGTTTGCGCTCGGACGAGCCAGCCACACTAGAGCCAGGGAAGTCGTTATGCATGCGACTCCTTGTCAGAGGAACTGAATAGCTCAGGATTAGTGCATCCATTTGCGCATAATATACGTAAAAACGTAACGTGTCACGTTGAAACTCTCTGCGCTATGTTTTAGTAATTGTGACTAAAACCTGTAGACATTTTAGATCTTTCGCCCTTTTTTTTAATTGCTTTCTGCATCCGCTTTTGTGGTGAGATCTCCGGACTGATTTTTACTGACAGGCCACAGCTACCACACTAAAAGGTTTTTTTTTTTTTTAAAGGTTGACCGCAACCAAGAGAGTTCTGAACATTGCAGCCACGTCTGTGTGGAAGGACTGAGCAATGGCTTTACCAGACAGTAGTATATCTGGGGACGAAGTTCCCTTTCCAGAGATCATAGAGCTCAACGTTGGAGGCCAGGTGTACATAACCCGATACTCTACTCTGACCAGTGTGCCCGACTCTCTGCTGTGGGAGATGTTCAGTCGAAAGTCAACCAAAGGACTCGCCAGGGACACGAAGGGACGCTTCTTTGTAGACCGTGACGGTTTCCTGTTTCGTTACATCTTGGACTACATGCGGGACCAGCAGCTGGTTCTTCCAGACCACTTCCCTGAGCGTGGTCGTCTGCAGAGGGAGGCCGAGTTCTTTAATCTACCAGAGTTGGTCAAACTCCTGGCACCTAAAATCAGTAAGCAGAACTCAATCGGGGATGAAGCATGTCAGAGTGACCCGGAGGACTCCTCGCCTGGGATCGACACCGCCCGTAACCTCAGCTCCCTCAGTGCTGCCGCTGCCGCCTGTGCCAGCCTGGTCCCTGGCACCATGGAAGGCAAACGGTCAGGCTTCATCACCATTGGCTACCGGGGCTCGTACACTTTGGGCCGTGACAGTCACACGGATGCCAAGTTCCGTCGAGTGGCACGGATCATGGTGTGCGGTAAGACCTCCCTGGCCAAAGAGGTGTTTGGTGAGACCCTCAACGAGAGCCGTGACCCCGACCGCCCCCCGGAGCGCTACACATCCCGCTACTATCTGAAGTTCACCTTCCTGGAGCAGGCGTTTGACAAACTGGCTGATGCAGGTTTCCACATGGTGGCATGTAACTCCACAGGAACCTGCGCCTTTGCCCATGAGCAGACGGACGACAAGATCTGGACCAGCTACACTGAATACGTGTTCTACCGTGAGTGAGACTATCAGCTCCGTTCCCTCTTCTCCACGTGCTCCCCTCTCCTCCAGCCTCCTGATGCCCCTGCCTCTCTCTGGTGCACCACTAGATGAACCATAAACGTTCTCCCCTTTCCGTGTCTCTGTGCAGCACCCAGCCTTTGTCGTGAACAGTTCCAGACTGCAGATCTCCCTCAAACCCCAGTCCAGCCCAATCCAGCCTAACCCACTCATCCTTAAATCCAGCATTTGCCTTTGCTAAAGCCATGGTTCTACCCGGTTTGTAGTCTCCCAGCCTTGAACCTCAAACCCTCTTGCAACCTCTTCCTGTACAAACTGAAACCTTCATTATCCTAATCGTATGCCTTGGTGAAGCACAACAACAACAACAACAACAACAA